TAAGAACTGGTTGGACTTTTGCAATCTTACGAATATTGGTTATAAATGGAATGATATCGGTGACTCAAACAAGCTCATTTGAAGGTTGTTGAGTAAGGAAAAGCATTTCATTTAGAACACAGGAGTTAAACACAAGGGCCCCGTGCCAAATACACCCGCTAGTTGGTCTCTCTCTGGTCTCTCTCTCTGGTCTCTCTCTGGTCTCTCTCTGGTCTCTGTCTCTCTCTGGTCTCTCTCCGGCCACTCTCCGGTCTCTCTCTGGTCTCTTTCTGGTCTCTATCTGGTGTCTCTCTGGTCTCTCTCTGGTCTCTCTCCGGTCTCTCTCCGGTCATTCTCTGGTCACTCTCTGGTCTCTCTCTGGTCTCTCTCTGGTCTCTCTCTGGACTCTCTCTCTCCGGTCTCTCTCTCTGGTTTCTCTCTGGTCTGTCTCTGGTCTCTCTCTGGTCTCTCTCTCTCTCCGGTCTCTCTCTGGTCTCTCTCTCTCCGGTATCTCTCTCCTGTCTCTCTCTGGTCTCTCTCCAGTCTCTCTCTGGTCTCTCTCCAGTCTCTCTCTGGTCTCTCACGGCCCCGGAACAAGTCTGACATCCCATGATTTAGAACTTCCTGTCTTACATTTGTCATATTCTGCCAGAAATGTAGATACAAACTTGAAAAAAAATAAATTAAGACGACTTATTCAGTTAAAACCAAAAACGTGTGGAAACGACAAAAATACAAGAACAAATGTTGTATATATTGACACATTGTACACCAGAGCGTTTCTTTTGGACCACAGTCGACGTATTTACAAAAAAAATAGACTCACAAATAAGTAATACCAATGTAACATAAGATAACTGTACAGCAATTTAAGACATATAGACAAAAGAATACATAACAGTTATAGTACAACAAGAATCCTTTATCCATGTGGGCTTTGATACTGTAAAAACACATATCGAGTTGAAGGCGAGAAAATTTGACTTGAAGAGTAAAATAAATTATTTGTTGGAAATTTCAAATGACAACAATTCAAGCCAGCGTTTTTTTGAGATTCTGATTTTAAAGAAATCGTTAACGTCTCATGAAAATATGTTTGTTGTAAATTATGGCAAACTTTAATCTGATTTTAGAGTCAGCTGAGGATGATGTCATCAGTTAGACTACTTCCTGCATTTGTAAAAAGATTTTCCAATATTTCTTCATGAACTGCATTTGAAGGGATAACACTGTAATTAGTATTTTAAACTGGACTTTATTAATCCAAAAATAATAATCCTGAAAACCTACGAACGCACTTCTAAGTTTTGACATTGTCGTCGCCCATGTTTTGTTTTTGTTTTTTTGTGATTCAAGTCTTTTAAACGGATATAAGGACGACACGTTTCAGCACAAAACTCAAACGAAATCAAAGTGTCGCGTTCACAGTCTGGTTTGGACGGAATTTCACTGCAACAAAGCAGTGAAACCTTGAATTGAACTCCAATCCGTTTTCTCGATTTGAAAAGTTTACATTTGTCATGACCACATTTCTGCCAGTGGAACCAGGTCTCTCTCTGTGTCAAGCAACACAACTACAACTTCATTAATATTGTTGAGGCTCCACACACCTTTAGTATCATGTTTGCCGACTCTATTCTAGTCAAGGATTTTCGGTAAATCGGAACTCAGTGGCGTGATATGGATTGGCAATAGATTGTAGCCTGTACCCATGACGTTGGAGACGGCATTCAGGTATCAGGAAAGAGTAGGTTAGGTCAATATTTGGATTTAAAATGAACATAAGCAACATAACATAAACTGCAGTTGTGATTCAGGGTATACTAAAATAAACTGAATTGAACGTCCCAGTGGAAAGCGTTTTCAAAATCACCGAAAGTGCATCAAGCATGGAGATTTTCTTTTAGTCATTCTTCTAAATTTCAGAAGAATTTAGGATCTAAATGAGGTGGGAATAGAGTTGATCCACCTGTTTATCAGTTATTTAGCCGTTTTGCTGATGCACCGCTCTCTGCAAATGTCGGATTTAATTGAAAAGCTTGGGTACCTAACTCTAAAACAAACTTCCATGCTCTTAAAAGCTCGTTAGAACCTCGCTTTGATGTGTCAGCCTCGATTCCAGCTTTTTTCTTACAAGTTTGCAATAGTGAAAATGTTATGATGAAAAGCAGCGTAGGTTAAAACGATATTGCTTCACCCATAAAGTTCTGCCACAAAAGAAGGTTTTCTGTGGAATAGAAACCCCTAAATTGACAATATCTCTATGTTACAGCTGGGATACCTGATTTTCAAGGGTTACACTTTCCAACAATCTTATCTCTCACGACCGATTGGCACATACAGTTTGAAATATAGTGTTTCACAACTTTAGATCCACTTTTTCCAACTGAAAAGCGAAGTATATGGAAAACCACCGGCGCTCAGCCAATCAGCTCTCAGCCTTTTCTGACCAGTGTTTGATTTTCCGCACAAGGAAGACAGAAATGAGCAAATATCATAGACTTTTGAGCGGGAATGCGGAGTCAAATGTCAGCATATTTACTTGGCAAGTGCTGAATGACCAATCAGCAACAGGAGCAGCGCTGGTCTCTCCACTCTTGCGGTATACTCTGCCGCTAAAGCTGAAATTGGCTACGGAAGGTTCTTGATTGGTCATTTTTTCATAACCTTGCCTGCAAGCTGAATTCTCGCGGTATTTGCGAGTTCACAAACACTCGAGAATACATCTTGTACCGCTCCCGCTTACACTTTTCGAGTCGAACCACTGGGTGTGCGAGCCAATCACGCGCCAGTCTGGGGGTTTAGGGCGGGATATCCGGGTTTGACGAAAGCAAGAAGTGCCGGGCCGAAGCAAAACAAACATGGCTACGCAGGAGGACGGACGCAAAGTCAGTTTTAGCAGAATCTCCAATTTCTTTTTTGAAAGATGAACAGCGAGAGGCGCTTTGTACATTTCTGGACGGCAACCTTGGTAGGCGGGCACACAGCGTCACTTCGCCCAATCAGCTTCAAGTATTCTGCTGCTTACCCCTCCTTTCCCCGAAAGGATTCTCCGGGAGAAATCCCAGATTGATATCGCGGAGAACGCGTTAGAGTTCTACACAATCATCAATCTGGCTTTTGCCAGGTTAATTTTTTCAGGCTCGTAACTGGATTTAAAAAGACAATTTCACAACATAAACACCAGGGTTGAAGAGAGAACAAGCCCATGGACTAAAGGAGTTTACTTTTCAATGTAATACAAAAGGAGCAAGTAGGAGTAAATCTTTGTCCATGAGCTCTTCCCTATTGGGCTTCATTGAGGGGGTTTGCATTATCTATACAGTATGTACTGTATATCCAGTCTGTGGTCAAAATAAAAAGGTTTTAAGACTCTCAATATCAGCCTTCTAAAGTCAGAAGGGAATCACTGTCATGGTGTGAACTTTTTGGATTATTTTAACCTGGTTTTATTTACTTAGTTCTCTTGTATTTTGAGTTTTCCTGATTCCTGTGTGTCCTGTTGATTGTTAGCCCCGCCCTAATGTGATCCACCTGTGTCTCCTGTGTGTATATATACCCTGTGCTTTTCCCCACTTGTTGTCCGTCCATTGTCTCTACCAAGTTTGTCTTGTCTAGTTTTTCAGTTCTGGATTTTTGTGCCGTTGTCTCTCTGGATTTTGATTTTTATTAAATTACATTTAATTTTCAGTCCTGCATTTTGGGTTCCCTTTTTCTTAATTCAACCACGTGACAATCACAACGTAATGGACTATGGCAAGTCTATCACCCAAATGGAGCAGTATGAAACTTAGCCAAATTATTTGGAATTATCACTTAATAAAGGAAAGAGCAGCGCACCCAAACTCGGATAGAAAGCGCTCCCTGGTGACTTCAGTATAGTTTCATAACCGTCTTTACCAGAGCCACGTGTAGCTGTGAGGCTATGAGGCTATAAGGGAGCACTCACGCCATTGGCGGTGTCAGGGAAGGAAAAGAAACTGCTTGTATCCGAAATGATAAAAAATACCTCCGTCCTTACCCTTTCTTTCCCTTCCTTTTTGAACATTTGAGGCAATCTAACCAAAAAGGTCAATTCTAGAGCACAAGAAAGGGCATGACAGGAAGAAGGAAGTTGGTATTGTTATTTTGGAGCGGTGAGGAGACACACAAAGTCATCTCATACACTCCTGCATCTCCGTGAGAGTGCAGGAGCCGTCTGAACGAGTGCTGTTGGGGTTTGGGGTGTCTAAACTTATTGTCGTCCTTTGTCCAGGGGTTGTAATGAAAACCTCCGTATATAGCTGAACGCACACACTTGTTTGTTCAGGGACTGTTTCTTCCTTGTCTCTTCATGTGTGTGTGTTTGTGTGTGTGTGTGTGTCCGTAAAGCAGATATGGGTGACTGGGAGGTGTGTACACTGAATTTGTGTGTGTTCTTGTGCAACTCATACTGGCAAATACAATAATACTGAAGGGTGTGAGTGTGAGTGAGCAGCTTAAACGATTTAGTTTTATCGTTGTTTAAAATACCGTGATCATAGGTACGAGTGTTAAATGTGCTAAAGCAAAAAGTACTATATTTTGAGGCGGGTTAAATACAGAGTTGTTTTGCCCCACCAGCCCACGTCGCTCAGTGAAGAAGAAAGAGGAGACCTGGGGTTTCGGAGATAAACACAAATCTGTGTTTTTGTTCACGTGGGAATGAACTCCCACATGAGCTGATTAATAAAGCTCTGTATTTATATTTTTTAGAAGACACTGGGATGAATACCATGCATTTGCTCTCTTACTTTTGCTTTCACCAGGCTCTTTCTACGGCAAAATGAAATATTTACGAAGCAAAAAATTTAGGTACCCCAGCTTTTATTCCGAACATTTAAATTTCTTAGCTTGTTTTACTTTTTCAGAAAATAAGACTTTTCCACTGGCAGATCATCGCGTGTCTAGTCAAACCAAGAAACCACAATCGTAATTCAACTCACTATTGTTTTTGTGTTTGTTTAGTTTTTCTCGCTGCTGTCATGCACGTGTCCGCGCGGCTACGGCCTGTAGGGGACTCCCGCGGACGCCATGCTCATGCTCTTGAGCTTGTTGTCCTTCTTCCACTTCATCCTGCGGTTCTGAAACCAGATCTTGATTTGTCTCTCGGAGAGGCAGAGTGCGTGCGCGATCTCGATCCGCCGTCTGCGCGTCAGATAGCGGTTAAAGTGGAACTCCTTCTCCAGCTCCAGCGTCTGGTAGCGCGTGTAGGCCGTGCGTGCGCGTTTTCCATCGGGACCGGACAGATCTGAAACGAGGGCCAGAGTTTCATTTGATTGATTATGTTTGGTTTTATTCATTCATTCGAGCAGAAATTATACATTTACAATATTTATATTCTTTAGTGTACATATTTGTACACAAGATATTTGTGTACATGTTGACCTATACCTTTATCCAGTCACATACATAAAATATATTAATACACATACATATTGAATCCAGCAACATTATCTGCCATAGTTTCACCATGTGTTGGTTTCTAATTGCAATATGTGAATTTACAAATGTATTTCTATTTACTTTTTGGGTCCAAATTGAAACTTATAGAGAAAAAGGGAAACTAAAAGAAAGAAAGAAAATAGCTTCATAATTGATCAAAAATGAGAAGTATGTGTATAATAATGCGTATTATCCCAAACTTAAAGCTGGGATACCCAACTTCAAATCACAATCAATGCTACTCCATGTAATAAAGCAAGGGAAGGCAAGTTTTTGTGTATAGCACATTTAAGGCCACTCAAAGTGCTGCGAGTTATTATCCATGTGACTTATTCCTTGCTCTGAAACAGTTTGGTTCAATCACTAGTACAATTGAATCAAATTTATTTATAAAGAACATTTTATAAAAGCAGTTTCCAACGTGCTGCACATAGATGAACAGAGACATGCATTCGTTTTTTTGCCCTCTGTCACATCTTTAGATCAACTTTCTCAGCACAAAGCGTCAAATAGTGACTTACAGGGCTCTTGTATACAAAATAGAAGAAGAAGAATAAGAAAGAATGTTGTGGTCGGATTTGTTCACTACGATTTACAGGACTCTCGCTGTTGAGACAAACAACATGCGTTATTTATGAAACAAGCAAGACGCAGCTTTAACCACGTGGTGTAATGCTAATATTCTGTTTTAATGCCTCGAACTTAACCGCATTAACCCTCTGCCCTTAACCTGTTTTCACTTCATTAATAATTAAATTCGAGAATTAGCAAAATAGAATTCTTCGCTCTATGCCCCGGTCGTGATACTGACAGAACTTTGCAGTTCTCATTAAACACTTCCTTCCTTTCATGCCTTTGTTTCTCTAGATTCAGTTTAACAATATTTGGCATGAAAAAAGTAAGTCTTAAAAGGTCTTGAATGGCTGTAAAATGATGAAAATGATACAAAAGGAAACATGCTATTTTTCTGAATAGTATGAGTCAGTACCAAGGCAAGTTAAAGTTGAGTAAATAAGGCAAAACTATTTGTATTTTACTCTAAATAATGAGAATTTCATTTGGAGATTATTTAGACAAGAAAAAATCACTGAAATTATCTACCTGTTGATTAAAAATGTCGTGGAGGAGTTTAGTTTCCGTTTTTAGATGTTTTCTGATGTTTTCGTGAATTTTCTCTGTTATAAGGAGAACATTTTTCCTAACTCAAGTGAAATGAGGAGCAGATCATATACGTTTATTTGTCATTTATCCAATCACACATACACAGGTTATTGTTGCTTCATTTTTTTTCTAATTGTCTATATCTGCAGTATATCACCCAAACCCTAACCCTTATCTGAAGATGAAGAGAACTTAAGTGTTTTGGTTATTTTTGTTCATTCGGGCAAAGAATTCAGTATTGTCTTCTTGTTGATGGCACTTTTTGACTGTTTGTTTGAAATAACATCTCGTTTGAAGCTGTTTCTGACAATGTCCCATGTTTCCTGTTGTTTGTATACACTGCAAACTCCTTTCATCTTTTTTGTATTGAGTAATAATTCCTGTAAGGGCTGTAGAGGGCGAAAAAGACAGTATTTTGTATCTAAGAAATGGCGTCAGTGATATGTAGGTCAAATAAGCACACACATATTCTAACTGAAATAACCTGAATTCAAGTCAGCGTGAGTTTGGATTATTTTCCATTATTAACGCTTGCAACAAAGTGAGCATAGGTGAATATATGCAGTGACTATATTTTACCCCCAAACCCCTCTTTTTACGCGCTGATTTGACTGCACCGATCTACGTTTTCTTACATTATTATGCAGTCATCCACTCAAAAAAAAAATAGAAATAAAAGTATTCTTCCACTAAACGCAATCCAAACGCCGCTAAAGTTACGCATTGGCCACGATTGCGTCCTACTCATTTCATTACGCATGTGTAAACATTGATGCATTGATTTTACGCATAAATTGTCCTCGTGATTGGACAGTGAAAAATGCCACTTAATCATGGAAAATGAAGAGGCCGCGGTGGTGGAAGGACCCCAGGCCATTCTTTTCTTTTTCTTTTTTCTTTTTTTTGGGACAAAGAAGCGCAGGACTTCAGAGACTTGGATGGAGCTTTGTGTACAGCAGCAGCGCTTCTCAAAGGCCGTGTTGACTCAAGCCCTCACAATAACCGCTTTTGAATCCAGCGTGTGTCAGACATTGGACACAGCAGTGGACACTTCTGAAAGCAACGAGCAGGTTTTGGTCAATGTTTTAATCATTATTTTTTTTGTTTAAGGGAAACGCAGTCAGAATGCTTTACTCACGTATATATCACACATGTATTTGGGCCTGTTTTGTCACGCGTAAAAATTTACCTGTTTTAACAAAGGTAGTTGCACAAACAGATAAGTGCCAATAGGGAAACATGTTCAAATACTTACAATTTGGCCTGATGTCCCAAGCAGTTTTTTGAAAAGCCATACACGTTCCAGTGCCATACAAATTCTTGAGCAAATTTTCTAAAATGTACTGCCAATAAATGTAGCTAGATGAACACAACTTTTTTACTAGATTTTCAAAACCGTAGATATCTGTGTTTGCAAAATACCTACGAATACACGTTTACAAAGATATTTTTTCAAATTTAACAAAAGGTTCAATATAAAAAAATAAAACATGAAGTTTCAATTGATAATATTTCATTTTTCAACTTCTTTATCCATCTATATTCAGTGCTATACAAAATGTTGACAATTATGCCATGCGTAAAGATGACAGGTATGACCACTCATGGACTTGCTTTTCTCTTTTATATCTGAGGATTTAGGTCATCTCACGTCTGTGTCCATGGATTGAAGTATTACAATGTTTACTTCTGTTCTTAACATTAAAACATATTTATACCAAGTTATATTCGACTTGTGGCGCTTTCTCTGCCACAAAACTTTCAAAAAACGACATCCTATTATTTTCTTATATAACAGATTGACACATTTGGGTGGCACAAACAGTGAACAATTGGTGGCATAAAGTTGATAATGAGCTGATTTGAGAAGCAACGCCAGGTGTTGAAAATGCATATTTTTAGAGACTGTCCATGAACGCCAGGCGCAGGAATGTGTCAGAAAAGCGAGTTTAAAGTTGTTAAAACATGACGGGACGTTTTGACGATTGTTCCATTCGGTCCGTGTGATTAATACAAATGAAAATTGTCTATTCCAAGCAAATGATACCAGGTGTTCTTTCATATTTACAACATAAGGATGGTCTGATCAGTAAGAAGTCTGTGCTCTGATATTTTTAACGCACATTGTCAGTCATTCAAACGCTGTTAACCAATTATGAGACAAGCTTCTGTGTAACCTGACCTGCATAGTTTGTCATGTGGACCCTTGTTATATCTGTACAACTACTAAACATATTTATCTGAAGAACTGAACGTATATATTTGTTCTGACCCACATTGTCACTACAATATCTATATCTTACGCATGCGTCATTTATATCTCAAGTGATGACGTCTCTGTTCTTCTGCACATTGATACAAATAATATAGAAAGCGTTGTCCTCTTTTGTTCGATTTGAAGGGACTCGAAAGTAAACCGGGTTACAGGTGCGATCGCTGCTGCTTTGTCATTTCTCCTACTCTGACCATTCTAAGCCAGGTTAACACAGTTCTCTTTAGCTGTGCGTATAAAGGAAAATATAACTTTTTATCTTAACTTTTAAAAATTGTGTATATGTATGAAGGATTTAAAAGGATAATAATGATTTAAACGGCTCCTTTCTCAATTTGTTTTGACCCCGTGTATGAAATGCGCTATGGAAATTAACCTCCCTTGAAGCGGAAATATTGGAACAATATAGTTGAAATGATTTTATAATGGTCATATTTTTGACTCGAGGTGTCAAAGGCTTTTCCAAAGTATAGAAGCGATTTAAGACTCACAATATTAAACAGTTCAGTTTTCTCAGATTTTTTGAGGGTGAAGTTGGTCCAGTTTTTGTGTGGGTATTGCGCCTTTTACGCACAAACTGAACCCAAATCCAACTCTATATATATTTTTTTTATTTTTACCGTGGTTTATGTGCAGCTTCCTCATCCACGGGTAGATCTGTGGCTGCCCGCTGGGGTCGCCTGTCTGTTGCTGGTGTTGTGGAGGCGTCACGCATTTGTCCGCCGCGTCCACCGCCTCTGCCGCCTCCACCGCGTCCTCCAGACTCACCGCTTTGGACACGGCGTTCGCACGACTGCAGTCCCGGTCCCTGTCCAGGACCATGCTCCCCAGGGCGCGCTGAGGACTCCCCACGCCGCCGCCCGAAGCCTTGCGCGCGTCCCCGCTGTGAGACGCGGCAGAAGCGGCACAGGACAGTTGTTGCTCTTGAGGAAGAATTGGGGAATTGTTGCACTGTGAAAGAGCGAGGTGTAAGTGAGATGAAAAACAGCTTGGACAGATTTAACTTGTGAAATTATCTGGCTTTAAACACTGGTTCCTCTATTCATACGAGAAATTTAGGGTTTACTTTATTTTTTTTTACTCATATGCTTCAAAACTCCAGAAAGACAAACTCAGCAGAAAGTTTACCGTTTTACAGTCATGTAACTTTGGACTGATTTTATTTTCCAATCTTAATAAAACTGCCTCCCAAACTTTCCTATACTGTATTTACGTATCAGTTTGTAGTGGGACGTTTTAAAACTTTTCTTTTCTAATCTAACAGTTTCATATGTCCACTATATTTCCTTCTGCACCTTGATACGGCACTAATTACACAGGCTCCTATAAATCTGATCCTAACTGCAGATACTTTGAATATTGTATTGTGTTTGGTCATTTATTCTGTTTTTTTTTTACTTTTGGACACCTAAACTGTTTGCTATTTAAATTCTTTGAGGTCCTGTCTCCAAGTGATTTCCCTTAATGTGGGTCAATAACTTATTTAAGTCTCACTGGAGACCCGAAAGAAAGCTTTTTAACATTTATGAATCAAAGAATGTCTAAGCCTTTTGAACCTAAATGGGCACTCTGGAGCCACTTTCTCAGTTCTATATTTTGCCTTTAGAGAAACATGACTATACATGATTTGGTTGTGTAATTGTTGCTTATTGTTGTTGTTGCTGGTGTTGTTTTTGTGTGTGCATGGAGAAAATGAGTCTGGTTCTTTCAATGACTCTTCCCATGGCAAATAAAGATGAATACAAAATATGACATTAGCATAACTGGACAACGTCATGAAAACGTAAAAAGGGTTGGTTTTGGTTTTGGTTATGGAACATCCCTGAGTTTGAAAATGAATGGTTAAAAAATAAAGACAATAATGACTCATGAAAAGACAACTAGAATAAGGTTTTTTGGTTCTTCTGTACAGATATGTCAATGCCTAAGAAAACAAGATGAACCTATAAACTATAAAATAACCTTAAACCAACTCTCTGCACTTGTAATAAGAAAGAGAGTCTTCCTGGAAGAATCTCAAACTGTCCCTTTGCTTTGTAAGATCACGTTCCACCTCAAACAGCTGCTCCTCACCTGGATGTTGGCTTTCTGCAGCGTGGGGTTGCTCTGCGCGTACCTCCCCGGGTCTATGACCGAGGGACCGGCGCTGAAGTCTTCGTGCGCCCGGTGGCTGAAGTGTCCACCTCCGCTGCTGCTGTTATTGCCGCCTCCGCCTCCGCTTCCGCTGCGTGCCACGCTCAAGTCCACTCCGTTGTACCCCCCGTACCCGTACCTGCCTCCCGCGTGCATGGCCCCTTCACTGCCATCCCGGTACTCTCCCGCGGCGTCCCCATAGCCGTGCAACTGGAAGTCCGCGCTGTTTGAGTAGCGTCCGCAGAATGAGTTGACGAAATAGGAGCTCATTTGTTGACAATTGGCGTTTTTTTCTCGTGTTTTTGGAGTTTATTTGGACATACCACGCGCGCACTCTTCCATCGGAGTGATTTGTGGTGCGCGCTAAAGGCTATGGTGGAGTTTGAGGAGAGGCAGCGCAGCGATTTATGATGAATTATGGAAATGAGAGCGGGGGACATGGACTTGGGTGCTGCGTGTGCGTGTGCGCGCCACCGCTGCTTGCTGCTGCTGCTGCGCCTACGTAACGCGGCCAAATATGGGGCGATACGAGGAGAGGGTCACGTGCTTTTGTTGACCAGTCGCGGATCCAGAGACGTGACCTCCAGAGGTAAAGTGGAGCTTGCACTGTAAAAAGTCATGTATGTGCACTGTAGAAAAATTAACACGGGGTTTTGTGCGTAATGAAAAGATAATATCCTTCTCCAATTGGTAACTTTATAATCAGGTCGAATTAAATTATGTATAAAATCCCACATTTGGCGCGTAAACGTAAAGCAAATGGTTAAAGTGGTTTGTGATTACCATTATGTTAGTTTATTGTCAATGGAACGAGCAGACTTTAGATCTCTCATTATTTAACAAATTCAAAATCAGGATAAGGATTGCGTGATGACTATTTTCTCATATTGAGTAAGTTTCTTCACATATCTGCATCTAATTTCGTAATTCGAGTAGATTGGACTTGATGATAAAGATATTGATGGAAGTGGAACATGCACTTTTCTTAGTGTAGGTCTGTGCATTTCTCTGTGGAAAATAATAATAATAATAATAATGCATCGGTTTTATATAGCGCTTTTCTGGACACTCAAAGACGCTTCACATGTGTCATTATTCATTCACTCCATACACGGTGGTGATAAACTACTACTGTAGCCACAGCTGCCCTGGGGCACACTGACAGAAGCGAGGCGACCAGTATGCGCCATCGGCCCCTCCGACCACCACCAACCATTCACACACACACCAGACTCATTCTAGGCAATGGGGGTGAAGTGTCTTGCCTAAGGACACAACAGCAGTTTGGCACTTTACAGCCGCAGCCGCCCCACTGTGGCTGGTGTTCCCAGAGGTTAAGTGTCTTGCCAAGGACACAACGACAGTAGTCAGTGGGAGTCGATGGTGAAAGTCTTGAGCGGGGCTTGAACCCACGACCTTCTGGCTCAAAGGCCAAAGCTCTACCAACTGAGCTACTGCCGCCCTTACTGCTCATTCCAAAGTACTGCAAGACCTATATGTGTCTGTGTGCTTACGAATTATCTTCTGTGTGTCATATGATTCTGTTTTAAAATGTGCAAGTGTGTTTTATTAGTTACAGAAGTAGTACTAGTAGTCGTAGTAGTAGAAAGAGTATAGTAGAAGTAGTAGTATTAGTAGTAGTAGTAGTAGTGGTAGTAGTAGAAGTAGTTGTAGAATTAGTAATCGTAGAAGTGTAGTATAGTAGTAGAAGAATTAATAGTAGTAGGAGTAGTAGTAGTAGTTATAGTAGTAGTATGAGAGGTAGTGGTAGTAGTAGTAGTATTAGTAGTAGTAGTCATAGGCGTAGTAGTCGCAGTAGTAGTAGTAGGAGCAGTATAGTAAGTATTAATAGTTGTAGTAAGCAGTAAGTTTATGGTCACTGAAACATAGGTCATTTCATGGACTTTTATAATAATACACTTTTTATTACGCATTACCCACATTTCAACAACAAATATTGAATCGACCTTTATCGACATGAAGACATGACAGGACTTTTCTCAAATACAGGCCTGCATAAATAAATAAAATGTCCATCATGAAAAAAATGAGTAAGTCCTTCAAGTGGCCAAAAATCCTGCTTTTAGTTTGTGATTTTTACCCACAAGATTTGAATCTTGATTTGAATCAAGATTAGAAACCTTTCAGAGCATATCTCGAACTATGGACTGCTGCCATGGTGATTAGCAAATACATAAATATTACTCATAAAACTCATTCTGTCTTCATAATGGGTCAAAACTCTTCAAAATCAAACAGAAATCTCAAACACGCGAGATGTCGATCTTTTTGTTTTTTAAAATATTTTTTTACAGTGTGGAAGAACGCGCACAAAGCCATAACAAGCTCAAACAGTCGCGCGCACGCCACAGTGACTGGATGCGTTCCTTTGCGCAGTCGTAGTGCGCCATCCTCCGGTCAGAGCGGGGTACTGACGCCTCCTGTTCTGAAATCGGGGTCACGGGGCGGTTAACGAGCAGTGCGGCAAAAACGCGAGGCGGGTTTGGAACCATGCGACACACACACACACGCGCGCACATGCACTGATAATAGCTTGGGTTCTGGCGAGGATTGGTGCAGGAGCCTCGTCTTCCTCCCACGCGCTGCTGCTGCAAATATGTGCAAATAAAACAGCATTAAGTTGAGATTGGAATCATTTTGCGGAGACGGGAAAAGGTTTGGACAAAAAAGTCGTTATTGATAGTGCCTCTTCTGTGCTCCTTCGTTTTTTATCAATTATTTATATTACATTTCTGTCTGTAGTTTATGGTCGGTTCAGTTTTTTTTAGATTGTTTATTTCAGCTCATAGCAATAAAAAAAAAACAATGTGTGTTTAGATTAGAAGGAGTGAAAAATACTTTAAAATGTCTGCACCTTCATTACACAATTAAGTTAAATGTTCTAAGTCAGACCTATACATGTATACATTTTAGAAGTACCTGAGTCAAGAGTAACACATATCCACAAAGTTAATACATACATATTTAAGCTACAATTTAATTCTAAAATGACCCCGCTGCCACATTATGGACAAAACGCTGTTCACTGCGGGCCTGAGCTCTTATATTATCGATAAAGGAACATTTGAAAGGCCTTGTGTTTCAAACGCGGTGTGAATGTTCTCTTTTAATAAGGTTTTATTGGTTCAAAATCAGAGTTTGTAGATGGAATTGTTTGGACATGAATTGCACCTTGATTGAACAATTAACATTATAGGTCATGAGGCAGGATTCAGTCTTTAAGGTTAATTCAATGGAAAATAATGAGGTTTTGCAACAGCAGATGTTTCGAAAGCAGATGTTACTCCATATTTTCTGCAGATGAAATGAAATAATTGAATAATAATTGGTCCAAAAGACAATCAGAAAAACCTGTTTATTAACGCAAGTCTATATACATGTTGAATTTAAATTAAGGTATGGAGGATATTTCTGTTTCCGTGTGATTTGTTCAACTTCTCTTGTATTCTCATCTGTTTATCTATTGCTATTTACTTAACTTTTACTTCTCAATTATCCGGCTGTGTTTGTGCGAAAGTGAGCAAGGGACTAATCCCCAGATTTCTTCGGGATCAATAAAGTATTTCTCTGTCTATCTGTGATGTTATGAGCGCGGATCCTGCATGTGGCCGCGCGTTGGCCAAAGCGTGCGTAATGGCGCAGCATACGGCCGTGTTTTCTCTGCGTCCAGGAATTTTTATGGCTCCCACATTTCTCACCGAGCTGACGTGTCCTCAGGTCCTTTCTCATGAGCCCTTTGGCCGCGGAGGGCTCCTGTTTGAAACGTCCAGAGTCCGAGCTGTACAGGCGCGTCTGAAGTCTCTACATACGGGCCTGCGTGCGTGCGTGCGTCATGTAAATGGGAATATGCAGTTTAGCGCTCGTGGTTATAAAATATGTAGTCACTTATTAGCAAATGATCTTACGCTAGGTTTGGGGGAAAAGTACATTATAAAGCTCTTTGTATTTGCCACGCTTTGGTCCAAACTATACCCTTAATCGTTTTGCTTTGATAATATAGAATGGCATATGTCCTTAAATTGGGATTCAGTGATACACCATGAACACTTCTAAACACAATCAGTGAAATGATACTTTTGTCCATGTTTTTCTGCAGTGTTAACTTTGCTCTGTCAACACAGTTTTGAGAATATTTGGCATTTCCTGGTTTAAAATGTGACATGATATACTTTAATTTGCTTAAAATATATATAGGAAAACATGACACACAAGATAATAAAATATGAAGATAAGATGAGAGAGAGAGCGGGAGATAAATAGATACATTGATTGATTGATAGATAGACAGAGATAAATATAGATAAAATAAACAAAATCCAACACAGCAACACACTGCATTAAACACGGTGTTGAAAAAAAGTGCTATAGAAAGGCACAGCTCCTGGTAGAAAATCATGTCTGAGGTGTCACCAATCTCCCACTAAAGAGAACAGTGTTGGATCCTCCCTTTTGTTCACATTAACGTCCACTTTGTGCAGATTGAGGCCGGGCACCAGCCTTTTTAAGCGTGAATTCATGTATTTATTGTTAGTTATCCTCCGTGATGATGCTTGCACCCCCCAGTACAGGAACGCACACACACGGCCATGATGCCCTGGTCACACACACACAATCTCACATCCAGGATCTGAGTTTCCGCAAGACAAACATGAATATAGTCTTTTTGAACGCCATCAGTGTTCCTCCTCCTTCAGCTACAGTAGAACACCCACTGGACTGCCCTTTAGTGACCACTGCGAGAAACAGCATGATTTTTCTTTCTGAAGCAGCTAAAAGGTGCAACATTCACATCTAGAGTAAAAGTGAGAAATAAAATTGTAAATCCAACACGACGAGAGCCGTTTGAAGACATGCAGCCGTAAAGAAAAAACAGAAAAAGGCCAAAAACTCAGACAGAGGCAGAACATGCAACGTCACAGACTGAGGATGCGTCACATAAAGCAGGGCCGTCCCACACAATAAGCAGACGAAGCAGCTGCAAAGGGCCCCAAGGTCACTGGATAAATCGTAAACATTCGAATTGACAGAAACATTAAAAAATACGACTAAAAACAAACATTAAAGGTATATAGGAGGATTTTCCCAAATATAGGGAAAAGCCGCCCTTTCCACTTTTTGCAAAAAACTCAGTGGTCTTATTTGACGAGCACTTATCACCAGAATGATTGACAATTGGGAGGACCAACAGTCTTGATGATCCATCCAGAAGTAGAAAATCCTCCTATATACCTTTAAGATCATAAATATTG